CTGCAGTTCAGTCGAACTAGCACGCATCCGCTCACGCAGATCATCGCGCTCCGCGGTCAGCTCACCCAGGCGGCCCTGCAGTTCAGCCGAACTAGCACGCAGCTCATCGCGCTCCACGGTCAGCTCACCCAGGCGGCCCTGCAGTTCAGTCGAACTAGCACGCAGCTCATCGCGCTCCGCAGTCAGCTCACCCAGGCGGCCCTGCAGTTCAGTCGAATTGGCACGCAGNGTCAGCTCACCCAGGCGGCCCTGCAGTTCAGTCGAATTGGCACGCAGCTCATCGCGCTCCGCAGTCAGCTCACCCAGGCGGCCCTGCAGTTCAGTCGAACTAGCACGTATCCGCTCACGCAGTTCATCGCGCTCCGCAGTCAGCTCACCCAGGCGGCCCTGCAGTTCAGCCGAACTGTCACGCAGCTCATCGCGCTCCGCGGTCAGCTCACCCAGGCGGCTCTGCAGTTCAGTCGAACTAGCACGCATCTGCTCACTCAGTTGGTGTAACTGCGCTTGCAGCTCGAGCAGCTCTGACTGTGCTCGGGCCCGGGCCTCCTCGGAGTCTTGTAACTGGCTAAATAGTTCTTTGGGTTTGGTTTGTAATAAATGTTTCTCGGGGTTGATCTGTGCTACTTCTTTGATGCCATGACTGTCTGATTCGTTGGCAGCTGTATTGTTCTTGTCATTAGTGAGTTGCGCAATCGTTACACGGAGCCCATCCAGCTCTAGTAGGTTTTTTTCTCTTTGTATTATATATTGCTCGATGGTATTTGCCTGCTTTGCCTGTATCTCTTTGTGGGTGTGCCTCTCTGCAGCTAGCTCCTCTTCGAGACGCTGAATTTGCTCGCGTGCCTGTGCGGCTGCCTCGTGTGAAGAGACCGTCTCTGCTGTAAAGGCATCGGTGTTGTTGCGTGTCGCTATTGAAGGCGCTTGTTGCGCTAGTGTTCGTTTCATTTTTTCCTTTTGTCGTTCAATAAACTCAAGACATCGCGGACAAACTGGTTGCGGTTTGTTGTAGTAGTGTCCCGTAATACTATCACAGGTGCGCACGCATTTGGAACATATGACAATGCCGCAGCGGCGGCAATTCGTCTTGGAACTGAAGATTCCAAAAGATGCGCCGCAGTCTTGGTACTGGCAGTACTTTGTCTTGGATGGCGCCTGCCAGTGAGTCTCCGGCAGCACGCCCGTGATGGACATGTGTGATCGGCAGTCCTTTCTCTTCACAGAGGAGAAGCGGCAGCAAAACCTGACGGAGAAAAAAGTAGGCAAGAAGTGCAAGAAAGGAAAAGAGAGAAACCGCTGCACGTAGCAGACAAGAAGTAAGATATAAGAAACGCAAAAGTTAATGCATCGCTGAAATGCCCGTGCACCAAGTCAATAGCATTGACACCTCGATGTCCCTGCTTTGTCTCCCGTTCGTGCTGCCAGTTCTAGTCCAATTCGTTGTTCAGGCACACTGCAGTAGAGCATAGTGAAAATGCAGGCACAGTACATCCTTCTTGAACTACGCTTGGTTCTTCATCATTTCCCACCCTTGGAAGCCACCCTAAAACTGCCCCTTCTTTCGTCATTCTTGTTTAACCACTCATCATAGTCGATCAGCCGCAGGTGATTAAGTTCCGCGCCGTACAACACAGACTCGTTGAAGAGAACGGCACTCACCAACAGTACGAATGGAAATACGAAGAAAAAAGTAATTTGTGACGTGTTCGTCATGCACTTTTTGAAATCATCCTCTTGCACGTCACGCATGTATTGTACCCCTTTCGTAAGCTGCAGGGTATCCCGCTGCAGCTGCAGCAGGAATTCATTGCGTCGTTGCCAGAATCCATACGCAAACGCATACCGTTGAGCGTCTGTGGCAGAAGCAGCACCTGCTTCTGAAGGTGTTTCAGAAGTCCGTTGTGAGTTACATGGCACATACACTGATGGACCTTCGCCAGAAGACATCTGTTGCCGCTGCTGCTGTTCGGCCTCCTTCCCAATTCCCTTCCATTGCGCTCGCCCACCTGCTCTTACCTCCACCGCCTTTGACGTGAATGAAGGAGGCGGAGCCCTGTGGGGTGTGCACGTCGTACCAACATCAGGGAATAGCGCACGAATCTCCGGGAACAACTCTCTCGCCGTCTTCGCCCTTCGCGCCCTGTTACTGCGACTCGACGCCGAGAACACTTTACTGGCTGTGCCGAAGGCCGGCGATGCCATGGGTTGCTGCCACGGACGTCCAGATGACCGCACTAGCGTCTCTTCCGTACCCTTGAAGGCTTGCGAGAATAGCAGCCTCACGTTGTCACGTTTATCTGCCCGGCTGGGCGCTCCACTCCGTGGTGTGTTGGTCGCCGCCTTTGCAGAGCTTACACACCGACGCGACACAGCCTCTGCTGGCAGCGACAACAACACCAGCGGGAGGAGCGAGTGGGGAGTGGTTGCTCGGGCGCAGCGCATTGACGTGGCGATGCAGTCAACACACGCACTCACTATTCCCTACCACTGTGCAGCCTTCCCTCCTTCCTTTGCAGTAGACACAGAGCAAACAGCAAGACGGGATGAAGAGAGATGCAGAGACACACACACACACACAGAGTGCCAAACATTTCATTGACGGTGCAGAGATGAATGAGGGCCATAACCCCTCACTTCACCGCAACCACCACCACCCATTCCGAGAGAAGTAAAAGAAGTAAAAACATGAAAAGAGCCACACACCAGTTGGAGAATGTCGTTCTTGTGTGCACACGCTCCTCCGCCCTTTGTCGCCTCACGCTTACTTGCTGCCGGCGTTCGTCTTGGCGTGCGAGCGCGCCGTGACGGTGATCTTCTTCACGGAGGGATGAATGGAGCGCTCAATCTTGTCCGCCTTCTTCTTGTCGGCAATCACAAGGGTGTAGAGGTAGCGGCTGCAGCGCACCTTGAACTTCGTCACCTTGGGGTTGCGCTTCACCTTCACGCAACGCGCATCCTTGCGGGAGCAGATGGCGAGGAACTCCTTCAGGTTCTTGATTTCGCGGGGCATCCTTCGCGACGACAACTCCTACCTATCACGCAGGGGCGAGAAAAAACGAGAATGCAAACAACTACAGTAGCAGTAGCAGTAGAACCAGCACACGCACACACAAACACATACAAACTGTCATGAAGGCAAAAACAACACCGTGCACGACATCCCCCGCCATCTTGTTAGCAGTGAGGAAGACAAGGACAAACAATTGCCCAACACCAAAGTAGCATAAGCTAGGGCACATACCGGGGGGAAGAGAAAGGCTTAACAGTCCATTGCTACTGCTGTTGCATCCCCTTCATTCCTCCTCTTCCTCTACCTCTCCGGTCCATTCATGACACCTCAATTCCGTCTCTTCTCCGCGAAGAGAGGGTCCGTGCTCACCGAGTCGTCCTCGAACAACTTGCTAGAGTAGACGCCCTTTCCACCGTACGATGGGATATTTAGGAAGTCCGGATCATCCACCTGCCGTCGCGGCTTCACCAAATAGCGATCTGCCTTCAACTTTCCAGACTGCCGCGCACTCGTCTCGCTCTGCTCATCCAGAGTCTTCTCCGTCGCGAACTCCATTGACGACAAGTAGTACACAAGTTTGTTGTACGCCACAAAGAACACCACGCATCCCGTGGCAAAGAGAATCGGCACACGAAACTCCTCCCAACAGAGGAACGCAAGCCCCCACAGTTTCACGTTCCCCTCGTGGTCGTAGAGAATGCGCCGGTTACGCTCGCGCGAGATACGCTCCTGCTCCCTATCGCTGTGCTGGCGGTAGTTGCTGAGACGCCACAACCGACTCCGCCGCAGCATAACAGCAAACGTCACACAGGTAAAACAAAAGAAAGACAGGTATTCCCCTGCGTGTATCTACTATGTACCTCCTGCCCCTACACAAGCAACTTGGGTGGCGTGAAAGGAGAGACACATGCAATACGGTGACAAGAAAAAAAAAACACCACTAGGCCTCGATATAGCACGCGGGTACTTCGACCGCTGCAACTGTGGAACAACAGCTCGTGTACCCCTGAAAGAACCGGTCCCAATAAAAACAAGACAAAGAGAGTCAGTGACAATCATGGAGTTGTCGCTATCCAAGACTGGTTCACCAGAGCGGCAAGTCTCTGAGGGCGACGAAACCGTGACGAAAACGGCAGTGTGGCACACAACTAAAACAGAAACTAAAAACACATGCACCACGTGCGCCGGAGTGTGCCGCCACCATCTGCGCTAATGTGTCACCGGTAACCAGTGCAGAAAGCCTAGCAAAAAGAGAATAGAAGTTCCCACATCAATACCCACTAGAGAAGAATCAAACGCGTTCCTCGTGACATTTTTTTTTCTTTTTTGTCCACAGAAAGACCAATAATTGCTCTGCAGCGAAGGCGTACGGCGTTGCGGATTCCCTCTAGTGACAAACCACCAAACTACCTCTCAGTGCCGCACTGCCCACCCTGGGAGCAAAAGGTAAGCGGCATCCCTGGCCGTGTTTGCATGATGGCCGTTCACTCATCTTATGCGACTGATGTTTGGTCCTCTTCATTACCGATAAAGACGTTCATGCCATAAATTAGAAATTGTTTTTCTTGTTCTTTTGCATCGGCCTGTGCAGGAGGAGTGTCTTCTACCAGTGGCAGGATCCAATACCACAGCACATGTGTCCGTCACCTCTTCAGATTCATTACCTTCAGGTGCAGCAGGAGCCAGCACATACTTACAGACATTAAAACCTGTTTAAAGAGGAATACGCCGGTGACGGAACCACACATCGTATAGCTGGCGTCTGTAGTCATGGCACATGCTGGGGCGGTGTTCACCAAAGCAGCTCTTCTGTTCACCCCCTTTCGCTTCAGCACTACAGCTGGTGTGGCATGGGGCCACCTGCGTTGCCACAGATTCATCGTCGCAGCTTACTTGCAGCAGGCCCGCCAGGGTGTGTCAAGGTACACACAAACGGAAGCCCAGCATCACTGCCTAAACGAGCCCCCCCCCCTATTCGTCAGAGGAGGCGGGGGCGCAAACCTCCGCACTAAGATAACAAAAAAAAGGAATACAACACTACAGAGTAAGTGTGCGAGAACCCCCCCCCCAAAAAAAAAGGACCTCACAGCAGGCCAAATGGCACACCAAGATACACATCCATCGCGCTCGAGAGACCGCCCGAGAACACAATACACGGACTCGCAGTTCGAAGGGGCGCCGCCAAGAAGAGTGACAAGCACCCCCCCTCCACGCACAGCCTCCGTGGTGCGCTACCTCCCCTCCGTGAAGAGTTAGAGGAGAAGACAGCCGAAACAAAAAAAATTCCAGCATAAGTCTGCTGGTTATGAGCACACACGCACACACACACACACACACACACACAACGAGAGCCCGAATAAATCATTTTCCTCGCTTAAAAATAACAGAAACCCCCAAACAGTTTTCTCTTTCCCGTGTAGTGTGTCCATTCCCGCAGTCATGGTCCACTCCGCATCTTCATCGACAGAGCAAGTGACTCCCAATGAAAACCTTTCGGTGCCGATCATGGCGATTGGCCATGAAGTGAATATGAGAAACGCGGAGAACAAAGCAAAACACAATTCCACCAACACATACAACTTGCGCGTGCTGTAGGCTTGGCTCGCTCTGCTCTCACCTCTCTTTTCTTCTAGTTTTGCTTCAACACCTTTTTAGCATTCCCTCCTCACTTATTTACTTTCTTTGCATGGAAACTTTCACGCTCACACGACACCCCTCTCACACAGAACGGTCGCACACAGCAGCGACACGCAGCCGAGCCTCTACAGGCAAAGGAAGCCGAAAACAAAAAAAAAAAAGAGTAGCTGCAAAACAGAGGGCCTATGGGGGAGAAGAAAACAAACGAAAAACAGGCCAAAAGAAAAACTACAACGAAAAATCCGCAACGCTCCCTTCTCCACGCAGAACTGTGAAAGGAAGGAACAAAAATCAAAAAAAAAAGTGCTACACATCATCAGCAAATAGTTCTTCAATAATTGGTTTGTAACGCTCCTCGATGACGCGCCGCTTCAACTTCATCGCCGCTGTCAACGTCTCGTTCTCTGGAGTCCACTCGTCCGGTATTAGTTGCACGTGTCGTAGAACTTCAAAGCTCCTGCGGCCGGCCTTCCGCGCCGTTGCCTGGAACGACGCATCCACTTTCTCGCGAAACTCCGCACTGTTGAGAATGGCAGGGAATTCTCCAGATATATTGTTCTTCTGCGCAAAATGCATCGCGAGCTGCTCCGTCGTCAGCGCCAGGGCTGCGATGTAGCTGCGGCTGGGGTGCACCACCACACACACGCCATTGGGTGTGCAAAGATCGTTCTGCCCATACATTGCCTCGAGCGTCTCCATCGCAATGTATTCCCCGTTTGAATTCTTCGCCAACGCCTTAACACGTCCTATGATACGCACCGTACCATTATCTTCGATGCTGCCCACGTCACCTGTATGGAACCAGCCATCCTTGTCAATCGCCTCCTTCGTCAGTTCCTCCTGTTTATGGTATCCCTTGAACAGGAAGGGCCCTCGCAGCAGAATCTCGCCCCGTGGCTCCGGCTTGTCGGTGTGATGGTATACCGCCGTGTCGAGGAGCCGAAACTCCACTGACTTGAGCGGCTGTCCGACGTTGTCATATTGGAGGTTTCCGGTGCGTTGGATACCGCCACAGCACACTGTCTCTGTGAGGCCCCAACCCTGAATGATCATACCAAACACGACGTTGACGAATTCCTGCGTCAGAGGACTCATTGGGCCACCACCTGTAAGCATCACATGCACACGACCCCCCATTGCCTTACGAACTAGGCTGAAGATCTTTTCATTGAAGAACGGTGTATCTTTCCCCTCTTGTAACGCCTTTAGACGAGCCTGGTACGCACGGTCAAATAAAGTACGCTTCAGCGTTCCAGGCTTGGGTAATTTGGCTTCCACCGCCCTCTTTATTGTGTCAAATACACGTGGTACAGCAACGACAATAACAGGGCGGTACTCTGCAAAGTCTCCATGTGGCTTCGCAAAGTTGTCTGTCAAAGTGCGCGGATGACCAAAACCAACAATACAGCCTCGGGCGAATAGAACGTTCAGCACGCCGAGCTCCATAATATGGGCAAGTGGGAGGTAAGAACAGTATGTTTCTGGTTCCTTCGCTTCGCCAAGTAGGTCAAACACGCGCTGGCCCAGCGCAGCAAAACCAGCTCCAATGCTTCCGTGAGTGTGTCTCACGCCCTTTGGGTTTCCTGTGGTGCCGCTTGTGTACATGACAAGCGAGATGTCATCACAGTTTTCAGAGTTGGGGAGGTTCGCTTCTGGGAGGCTACTTTCCTCACCTTTCTTTAGAACATCAACCCAACGGTACACGGTGAATCCTGATGTGTCTGAGTTTGCTGGAAGATCATCAAGGTAAATCAGCTTCGCATTGCTCACACCCGACTGCTTCATCATTCCCATGAGTTTCGGGACACTTTTCCCATTACAAATGATGGCACGACATTCTGTCTCCTTCAATGCGTATATAAGTGCGTCCTCCCCCAGGTTTGCATAAACTGTCACAGCAATCATATGGCGCGACCATATAGCATTGATGGTGCAGAACCATTCCCAACGCGTCTCTTCATATATAGCTACATGCTGCTTCGCCTGCAGTCCAATTTCACAAAGACCCTTGCCCAGGTTGTCTATATTCGTCCAAAACTGCGCATAAGTTATTGTGCGCCGCTCAGGCTCAAAGACATACACTTCCATTTTTTTGGTTTTGCCGTTGCTTTCCGTGATAGTGGTGCACTCAATTTTCTCTAGGACACGGTACGCCAGCGCTGTCTTGTTCGAACGCTCCTTGCACACAGCATACAACCGCTGCGATGGTATCTCGTCATGGTAGTACTTGTAGACAAGCTCTTGATGTTCCTTATCCGAAGTACCGGCCATACGGTATATTGCGGAAGCATTGGGCTCTTCTGTGAGAGGCACAGGCTCAGCTTGCTTCGTGAGCAGCTTGAATGCCTGATACTCGGGGTAGTCGATGAGACTCCACTCGTTCTTCTTCTCCATCACAGAAGCTACACAGCCACCCATCTTTATCTCTGATTATATGCACAAGTAACTCTTACCGTATAATTCAGGTATGATACGTAACGCAGTAAGAATGTGTCTGGAGTAACCTGTGTAAAGGAATGGGTAGATGGAACCAAACAAAAAACGAAACGAATGAGAAAAAAAAAACGCAGCATTACACAGAGAAAAGGAGAATACAAAAATAACAACACATACACAGTCAGTACATGTACTGACCATGAAGAGAAGACACCAAACAAAAAAGATCATCGGCCAACAAGAAGCTTCAACCTTACCCCTCTCACACATTCACTCGTGCACCAAGGGTCACAGACACATATACAAGCCCAGCTATACTCACCCCACCGCAAAAAGCTACGTACACCAACGCCACACCCACGGATTCACGCACACACAAACAGACCAAGCGGCCAAGTGGCTAATCCGGTGTCATACCAGGGTACAGTGTCACGTGCGGACCAAGGAAGCGGCCGGCACGATTCCAAGTTGGCGGGATCCAGAAGATGCGACGGCCCTGGAGTGTGGTGTGCGGCGACATGATGTTGCCACGGCGCCGCCGTTCCAAAGTTTGCTGCGAAGCGCGAGAAAAGAACTTCAGCCGAGGCTCTAGTGACAGACGCTCTTCAAACTGGAACAGCGGCGGAAATCCCCACGGCGTCATCGCCTCTGACCGCTCCACAATGCGTTGGTACAGCTCGAAGTAAGACGACATGGGGCGGCGCGTGAGGCCCATCCGCTGCATCACATCGGCTGCAGCACTGATTCCCGCCAGCCGCGTTGCCGCGCCGCCCTCAAGCTGCCGCTTCGCAATCTCGCGGTACGCCGGGCTGCGCACCGCCGACTCGTAGAATCGGAAGGCGGTGCGCTGCGTCATCTCCCCACTCGCAACGGCTTCCGCGAGTGTGCGCAAATGGTTGTACACAAGGCGAGAACGCACGTCACCTGGGTTTAGCACCGACATAGCTGTGTGACAAAGCCAAACAAACATATCGTCGTTCTCCGAGAGTTTGTCATACACCTTCTTGAAGCGACGACCCGAGATGAGTTGGTCGTATGAGGCACCCTGAATAAACTCCACTAACGCCTCAAACTCTGTGTCACCACGTGCCATGAGCTCGCGCCGGGACCGCTCACCCTCAAGATTTTTCGGGATGTCCTGAACTTCACGCATTGCCTCGCCGCCAGAAGAGAAGCGTGCCTTCTGTTTTTCCTTGAGCGGGTCAGTGGTGAAGGAGGCCTTAATGAAATGCGCAGGATAGTTAGGTGTTGGGTGAATCGGCACAATGACACGCCGCTTCGCCGCGAACATCGACTTGTCGCGAAGAATACGACTACATTTCATCATGGTTGCTGCTTCTGCTATGTATTCTCTGTGTAACTATTGCTACTACTACAACCAACGCCACTACCAATGTACCCTGATAGACGAAGCAAATTTATCAACAAAAAAACAATGTCAAGCCACCGCTCCCAATTCCTTCCTCCCCACCTACTGTACTGGAGCCCCACACGCACACACACACACACACCCAAAAAAGGAGTGGCTCCTCTATTTATCTCTCCCCCTGCTCCAGGAGGCCGAGAACACGAGAGTGAGAGGGAGAATCAACATGAAAGCGAGAGAAGAGTACGCCATGGGTTAAGAGTTGCACAATACTGCAGTCTCAACATTGAAAAATAGACAAGGATGTGTGAAGAAACGGAATTTGAAAAGTAGCGCGCAACATCTTTACGAAGTAAGGCGCTTAAAGTTTTCTTAGCCCTCATCTTCGCCAAGAAGGAGCTGCTCCGAGAAAACCGGTACCAGCTCTTCAACCTTCTGGACCACATCTTGTAGAGAGAGAGAACCAATGGACGAAAACTGGGGCATTGTTTGCTGTTCATCCTGCGCTGCGATCATTTCATTGATGAAAGCACGGCAAGGCTCAAACCAGGGGTGAAGAAGCGCCTCATCTGGTGTTGGTCTGTCACGTGGACTGAAGGAGAGCATCTTCTCTGCAAGGTCAATGATGGGCGACCCCTCCGTTTCTTTCCCTTGAAGAAGCGGTGAGTGGCTTAACAACACACGCAACATGGGTGCACACGGCCGCCGCTCAATCACGGAGAGGGCGTAGTTCCTGGCGTTCACAGAGGCCCGGGCGAACGGTTGCCCCGGCTGAAACACCGACGCTGGAGGAGTGCCGACGAGGTGGAAGATAAGGTTAAGCTGGTCGGCGGAGTCGTTGCACTTACCAGGAAAGAGGTGGCGGCGCAGAAGAAGCTCGCACAAAATGACACCAACGCTCCACACGTCGTTTGCGGCGTCGTACTCCGCGTCGAGAATGATCTCTGGAGCCCGGTACCACTGCGTCACGACACCAAAGGACAGCTGTTCATCCGGATCAAAGAAGCGACTCAATCCAAAGTCACAGACAAAAACCTGTGAATTGTAATTAATGAGTATGTTTCGAGAAGAGAGGTCGCGGTGGAGCACCTTGCAGCGGTGCATTGCACGTAGGGCGAGTAACAACTGACATATTATGTAACGGACGACGTTCTCCTGGAGTGGTATGGACTTATTTTTCACCACAGCAGAGAGGTCAGAGGGGATGAAGTCCATTACCATGTACACGTCCTTTTCGCGGCTCGTCGGACGGAAGAGAAGACGGCAGCCAACCACCTGCTCGCAAAACTGCAGGTTCTGCAGGATCTCGATCTCACGCAGCACACGACGGGCTGTTTCCTCACTCTTCGCATAGTTTGGTATCTTCTTGATGGCAATCTGGTCTGTTCCATACATTGCCTTACACACAACGCCGTACGATCCTTGTCCAATAATAGACTCTACCTTGAACACCGGTGGAACGTCAAAGATGAGAGGTGCGTCGTTGTTCATGGTGCTCACCCCTTATATTTGTTCTCCTATAAAATTTACTCAAGTGGCACACACAGGCACACACACACACAACGTTGACGAGCGCAAGTTACTTCTCGCACTAGTTGTGTGCACGTGTTACCTGTTCGTCTAAGACACGAGAGTGGTCAAAAGAAGAAAAGAGCGGCACATTCATAACATCAAAGGTGGGCCACACACACACGCACACATACCTGCACTGCAAAGAAGGCCCAATACACGTACGAACGCGGATGTATTTGTAGTTTCCACGATTCAAGAATACAACAACTCATTGAAGATTTTCACCAACGCTTCAAAAAGTATTTTCATTCGTTGTTGTTGTTTTTTCTTTCCTGAGGCGCTCCTGTCGATCTCACAGTTACGCTTTCTTCTCTTTCTATTTCTTCTTCTTCTTCCCGACGTTATCGCGTTTTCATGCGCTGGCTCCGTCCTGTTGATCCTCAACCCATCCGGTCTCACCTTCTCGGCGGTGCCGTTGTTTCGTCTCGCACCCCGCGCGTGAGGGGGCGTGAAGGGGAGGGAGGAAAGGAAGGAAG